ACATACTGCTGCACAGAAAATACTAGATGTACAGTTTGATATGACCCCGTGTCTCTATCTTCTTAATGCCCAGCAGGACTTTGTTCTTGATCCTGACAGAAAAAATTTGCTCATGACCATTACATACTTTGCTAAGAAATGTATTCTTCTATTGTGGGCCTCTAATACTTCTCCTACATTTAAAATGTGGATTGACCAGATTGTTGACTTTCTCCCCCTTGAAAAGCTCACTTATGACCTCCACAAGAGACAGCCCAAGTTTGATAGACTCTGGTCTCCACTACTCAACTATATTTCAAATGGACAGAGTGAATGGGGGAATCAGGGAGATGGGCAGATGCGTGTTGTGTAAGGTGCTGTAAAACCTAAAAACTAATTATTGGCTCGTCATCTCAGCTAAGGCTGGAAATAGCTAATAAGAACCTTGATAGTGCTGCTGCAAGTTCTATAATTTAAATTTTGTTATAATTATCATTTGTGTGTATGTATGTATGTATGTATGTATATATATGTATGTATATATATATACATATATAAAACATTTTTTTTTATTATTATTATTCTTTTAATTTTTTTTTTTTTCTTTTTTAATTCACATCTGTGAATGTGGAATGTGTTTGGTTGGTTGATTGAAAACTTAATAAAACTTTAAATTGAAAAAAAAAAAAGAACTGAAGAAATGTGCTCTGGGAACATTCTTGTAACATCAGGTGAATGTTTTTTTGCACCTTAAAATAAACATTGTATAATCATCCGCAAAAAAAAAATAAAAAAATAAAAAAAATAAAAAAAAAATAACTGGGAACTCAGAAAAATACGAGGTCAAATCATGACGTCGGTGATCTTCAGGTTGGAAAGTTGGAGCTATAGAGGCCCGAGGAGATTTTCAAGTTCCCAGTTCCGTGTAGCCAGGTGTTTTGAACACGGAATAGTATACTTAAGCAATAAGGCCCGAGGAGGTTTGTGGTATATGGCCAATATACCACGGCTAAGGGCTGTACTAGCACGATGCAATGTGGAGTGCCTGGACACAGCCCTTAGCCGTGGTATATTGTCCATATATCACAAACCCCTGAGGTGCCTTATTGCTATTATAAACTGGTTACCAACTTAATTAGCGCAGTAAAAATAAATGTTTTGTCATACCCGTGGTACCTGGTCTGATATACCATGGCTGTCAGCCAATCAGCATTCATTTTCACAGGGTTCATGCATTCAACCAGAGAGGAAGAGGAAGAGAGATGCCAATCCCGGCAGGAAATCTGTCTCCCTCCAGCATGTGGCGTTTTTTCGTTGTTTCGCCCACCAAGCGAAGAGTTTTTGTATGGAGGTCAAAATGTATGGCTTATTTGCTACGTGAGGTTTATTTGATCTAATAGAAGTTTCGTAATGCTTTAGTTGTTATGAGTGTACTAATATAAGTAGGACACGTGACATCCCGGCAACTTTGAGAAAAAAACACTTTATATCGGAGTTATCTCGAGATGGCTATGCATATTCATGGTATGAGGCTAGTAGCGTAGCGTCTCTCTCCACTGAGTACACGCGGTTGACGTCAACAACCCTCATCGAATATTCAAAATAGGATTAAAATAATGCGATGTATCCACCAATCCAAAGAAAGGATAGGCGGGAGCTAGACAGCCCACCGTGCCGCTTTGTGGACAATGACTCCCATTGTTAGAGCGGAGAGACATGTATCTTGTCAGTATATCCATTATCTTTGATTCAACAAAATCACATGAAGCGGACAGTGTTTTGTTGGGGTCGTGGAGAAGATGGATTGATTGGGCCACATTGATGCGCGTCACATGAAAACGAACATTTGAGGGTCTACATAACGAAGAAATCAGTACAATTTATCATATTGGACGTGGGGGAAATTCGAAGAGTAGGGGGAGTTGGAGGAGAAATGTCGTCCCTAGACAAGGCAAGAACTAGATGTATGTCAGGAGAAGTGCAGTACTGTCATAAGGAGAGTTATACTTGGAATACGGAGGAGGAATGGAGGGAAAAAGAGAGGCAGAGGAGGTCAAAGAGAGAGAAGGAGGAAGAGGGTGAGCTTGAGTCAGTTAAAAATGGCGGGAAAAAGGGAGATGGTTTGTTAAAGAAGAATGGTAGAAAGTGTAAACAGAGTGAGTTGAAGACAGGAGGAGAAATGGAAGTGAATGAGGGTGAAGTATTGGAGGTGGTAGGTGTGGTGATGTTCTCGGAGCCCGAGGTTTCCACCGAGGGTCAGGATAAAGATGAGTCTGTGACAGTAGGAGTGAAGTTTTGGGAAAAAGTGGACCCTTGCCTTTTGGCTGATCCATTTGTGGTTTCAGGGTGGGTGAAAACAGAGTTGGGTGCTGTGAAATCGTGATGGTAACCAGAAGTGGTCTAGTGATAACTGTTTGTGTTTCTGCTGGTCAGAGGGAATTGTTTCGCTCTCAAGAAAAGGGCGCCATTGAAAGGCGTGATTACTGGAGTAACAGTAAATGTGAAAGCTGACCAACTGAAGGGGAAGATTCCCGGTGTTTGTGATGCTTGTCATTTGGTGCGACGCAGACAGGGTGGTGTGAGTGGAGAAACAGAAGAGTCATTGTCTGTTCTTTTGAGTTCTGATGTTGAGTCTTTGCCCGACAAAGTGATGTTAGGATATATAAGTTATCCGGTACAAGCTTTTGTGCCGAATACATTACGTTGTTACAGGTGTCAAGCTTATGGACATGTGGCAGCAGTGTGTAGGAGGGAGGTTCCTAGGTGTGAGAAGTGTTCAGAAGGGCATGAGACAAAGGAATGTGTAGCATTGGGGAAAGTAGTGGTATGTGTTAATTGTAGTGGTGCCCATGGGGCTGGGGATCCGAAATGTCCGGTGCGAAAGAGGCAGGTTGAGGTTTCCAGGGTTAGAGTAGTGCAGAAGTTGCCATATGCTGAGGCAGTGAAGAAAGTAGAGGAAGATGGGTCAAGGGGGTGGGATTCTGAGAGGAATGGTGTGAGTAGTAGAGATTTATAGCAATGGTTATCAACTATACTGCAGGGGTGGAACGTAAATCGCAGAAAATAGAGGTTGTGTTGGCAGCTGCAAAGAGGTACAGTGGGGGAAAAAAGTATTTAGTCAGCCACCAATTGTGCAAGTTCTCCCACTTCAAAAGATGAGAGAGGCCTGTAATTTTCATCATAGGTACACGTCAACTATGACAGACAAAATGAGAAAAAAAATCCAGAAAATTCACATTGTAGGATTTTTATGAATTTATTTGCAAATTATGGTGGAAAATAAGTATTTGGTCACCTACAAACAAGCAAGATTTCTGGCTCTCACAGACCTTTAACTTCTTCTTTAAGAGGCTCCTCTGTCCTCCACTCGTTACCTGTATTAATGGCACCTGTTTGAACTTGGTTATCAGTATAAAAGACACCTGTCCACAACCTCAAACAGTCACACTCCAACTCCACTATGGCCAAGACCAAAGAGCTATCAAAGGACACCAGAAACAAAATTGTAGACCTGCACCAGGCTGGGAAGACTGAATCTGCAATAGGTAAGCAGCTTGGTTTGAAGAAATCAACTGTGGGAGCAATTATTAGGAAATGGAAGACATACAAGACCACTGATAATCTCCCTCGATCTGGGGCTCCACGCAAGATCTCACCCCGTGGGGTCAAAATGATCACAAGAACGGTGAGCAAAAATCCCAGAACCATACGGGGGGACCTAGTGAATGACCTGCAGAGAGCTGGGACCAAAGTAACAAAGCCTGCCATCAGTAACACACTACGGCCGCCAGGGACTCAAATCCTGCAGTGCAGACGTGTCCTCCTGCTTAAGCCAGTACATGTCCAGGCCCGTCTGAAGTTTGCTAGAGTACATTTGGATGATCCGAAGAGGATTGGGAGAATATCATATGGTCAGATGAAACCAAAATATAACTTTTTGGTAAAAACTCAACTCGTCGTGTTTGGAGGACAAAGAATGCTGAGTTGCATCCAAAGAACACCATACCTACTGTGAAGCATGGGGGTGGAAACATCATGCTTTGGGGCTGTTTTTCTGCAAAGGGACCAGGACGACTGATCCGTGTAAAGGAAAGAATGAATGGGGCCATGTATCGTGAGATTTTGAGTGAAAACCTCCTTCCATCAGCAAGGGCATTGAAGATGAAACGTGGCTGGGTCTTTCAGCATGACAAGGATCCCAAACACACACCGCCCGGGCAACGAAGGAGTGGCTTCGTAAGAAGCATTTCAAGGTCCTGGAGTGGCCTAGCCAGTCTCCAGATCTCAACCCCATAGAAAATCTTTGGAGGGAGTTGAAAGTCTGTGTTGCCCAGCGACAGCCCCAAAACATCACTGCTCTAGAGGAGATCTGCATGGAGGAATGGGCCAAAATAACCAGCAACAGTGTGTGAAAACCTTGTGAAGACTTACAGAAAACGTTTGACCTGTGTCATTGCCAACAAAGGGTATATAACAAAGTATTGAGAAACTTTTGTTATTGACCAAATACTTATTTTCCACCATAATTTGCAAATAAATTCATAAAAAATCCTACAATGTGATTTTCTGGATTTTTTTTCTCTCATTTTGTCTGTCATAGTTGACGTGTACCTATGATGAAAATTACAAGGCCTCTCTCATCTTTTGAAGTGGGAGAACTTGCACAATTGGTGGCTGACTAAATACTTTTTTTCCCCACTGTATTTGGGTGTGCGAGACTTGACATCAGAAGAGTTACAGGGTGTGTTAATTGGTGGTGTCCCATCCCTTCAGGCTGTTGGCCTGAAGTAGGAATAAATATATTTAAATAGTGGAGTATGGTAGTTATAATTATTATAATGTTTTTTTGTTTTTTTGTGAGTTTAGTATTAGATGGTAGGGTATTTGTTGTATTTTTTAAAGCAAAGGATAAGGGAGTTATACTCCAGTCTAGTAGGTGGCGGTAATGCAACATTTATTGGATGCCAACCGCCGTTAAACCTCATCGAAGAATAAGGTGTTTTGTTGGTGATGCGCGCCACCAGGAAGAAGGACAGGCGCACGCGTGAAGAAGGGAATGATGGTGGGATAGGAAGGCAACGCATCAAGCTGGATGATAGCTATCGATTCCCAACAGTTCACTAGAGCTAATAGATCGTACATCACCCAAAGGTATTTGCTACTACTAGCACTGTAGCTAGTTCCCGTAGAACGACACCCTGGAACAAACAAAAATGCCGAACATTAAGATATTTAGCGGTAGCTCGCATCGGGAACTGTCTCACAAAATCGCCGACCGTCTTGGGATGGAACTCGGGAAGGTTGTGACCAAGAAATTCAGCAATCAAGAAACATGGTAAGTGTAAACTTTTAATCTATAGAAAGCTAATCTGTTTAAATCTTATGTTACAGAAAGATGAGTGAGAAACGTTACGTTAGCGTGCTGTTTCTGATGCTGCCTCGCAATGGTGCTTGGAACTTGTAGTTTGTCACGCATCACTGGCGTTCATTTTGGCGCTCAGTTTGTTGTCTTTAGGGCTAGCTACACTTCCCCATACATTTCTGGATATTGTGAGAGCTGACAACCCATACAGGCTATAACCACGATTGAATGACACGTTTTGTTAAAAACACAAGTGAAACAATTGTTACTTGCAACACTGATGCAACAAGCGGTGTACTTCTCATTCTGTGCTGTTCAGTACTTTTCTCATACCATGGTTGTATTGTCACTGAACTTAGCCAACTCCAAACTCTTCTCTTGTCACTGCACTTCTAAGGCCCTTAGCGCTAAACACCTGTAGGCTGTGTTTTCTCTGTCTCGTGATTATCCATCACCACGGGGGCCACGGGGGCCAGTATGAAAATGTATGCACTCACTAACTATTAGTCTCTCTGGATAAGAGCGTCTGCTAAATGACTAAAATGTAAAAATGTAATGCTGTGTTAGCAGAGAGCGTTGTTTAACCTGTCCTCCCCTTCACTCCTCCCCTTCCCTGGGCCCTAACAGTGTTGAGATCGGGGAGAGTGTGCGTGGAGAGGATGTCTACATCGTACAGAGCGGCTGTGGGGAGATCAATGATAATCTGATGGAGCTGCTGATTATGATCAATGCGTGTAAGATCGCCTCTGCCTCCCGGGTCACAGCGGTCATCCCCTGCTTCCCCTACGCACGGCAGGACAAGAAGGACAAGGTGGGGGTGAGGGACAGATGCCTAGTTACTTTACTGTCACACCGCCGACCATTATACCACATCACCAGAGTTAGGGTCAATTCCATTTAAATTCCAGTCAATTCAGAAGGAAACCAAATTTCCATTTCCCACATTTTCTTCATTGAAAAGGTACTTCCTGAATTTTTATTTTGTATTTTTATTTCACCTTTATTTAACCAGGTAAGCCAGTTGAGAACACGTTCTTATTTACAACTGCGACCTGGCCAAGAAAAAAACAACTGCGATAAAAACAACAACACAGAGTTACATATGGCGTAAAACAAAACATAAAGTCAAAAATACAACAGAAAATATATATACAGTGTGTGCAAATGTAGCATGTTATGGAGGTAAGGCAATAAATAGGCCATAGTGCAAAATAATTACAATTGACTAGAATTTTTAAATGGAATTGACCCCAACCCTGCCATTAAACCACATCACTGACCAGTGACCCGACCACCCATGTTTGCTGCCACTGACTGCATGGACGGACTCCAGCAGGAAGCCACATTAGATGGATGGGACTGGGAGCATGCCTGGGTTTTGTTTAGAGTTCATTTCTCACCGTTTCATTTTTGCCATCTCCACTGATTTATGTTCAGCCCATGTGTGAACTCTGAACCGAGTGAGCAGTCATTGTGGGTTTCGTTTGTATTGTTGCAGTCACCTGCCTGCCTCCATTCCTCTGATTATTTATATCAGTGCATGTTATTGTCCTTCCAATATAATGTATTGGATGTATGTATCTGCCCAAAATATACTGTTAACTTTTTGTACAGTATTACTTATCTTGGGCTTGAAGGAGCAGAGTAATTTGAATAGCCTGTCTGTTGCTTGTAGTTTAGAATAGCCTGTCTGTTGCCTGTAGTTTAGAATAGCCTGTCTGTTGCCTGTAGTTTAGAATAGCCTGTCTGTTGCCTGTAGTTTAGAATAGCCTGTCTGTTGCCTGTAGTTTAGAATAGCCTGTCTGTTGCCTGTAGTTTAGAATAGCCTGTCTGTTGCCTGTAGTTTAGAATAGCCTGTCTGTTGCCTGTAGTTTTAGAATAGCCTGTCTGTTGCCTGAGTTTAAAAAAACCCTGTCTTTGCCTGTAGTTTAAAATAGCCTGTCTGTTCCCTTTGTTTTAGAATAGCCTGCCCCTGTTGCCCCTTGGGGTTTAGGAAAAAATGTAGTAACCCAACCTTGTAGAGGGAAAAGACTCAGCTCATTCATGTAGTGAGCACCCCCAAATAGAGTGTGTTTTTTGTGTTGTTGTTTTTTTTTTGCAGAGTCGGGGCCCATCTCAGCCAACTGGTGGCTAACAGGCGGGTCTGGTCGGGGGGCTAAATCAAATCACCCCTATGGACCCCTCCACGCCTCACAGATCCGGTCGGACAGAGAGGGAAACGGGGGTTCTGGCAGTAGAGGTCAGGACCCGGGGGGCACGGGGGTCCGGGCCGTAGAGGTCAGGAGCAGGGGGGGCCCATTTGGGGTCTGGCATAAGGTCATAAAGCAGGGAGGGCACTGGGGCCTGGATTAGGGTCGGGAGCAGGGGGGGGGCACGGGGGCCCGGCGAAAGGGGTCAGGGGGGGGAGGGAAAACCGGGGGTTTTGGCATAGGGGGCCCAGAGCAGGGAGGGCCCAACTGGGGTCTGGCAGTAAGGTCAGGAGCACTGGGGTCGGGCAGTAAGGTCAGGAGCAGGGAGGACACTGGGTCGGGGCAGTAGAGGCCCGGGAGCGGGGAGGGCACTGGGGTCTGGCAGTGGGAGGTTTCGGGAAAGCACTGGGGTCTGGCAGAAAGGGTCGGAGCAGGGAGGGCATTTTGGGGGTCTGGCATTTAAGGTCGGGAGGCAGGGGGGAAACTGGGGTTTTGGCAGAAAGGGGGTCAGGAAAAGGGGGGGCCCTTTGGGGTTTTTCAGTAGGGTCAGGAGCAGGGGGGGGGCCGGGGGTCTGGCAGAAAGGGGTTAAAACCACCGGGTTTAAAAAGAGAAACTGAGCCCATCAAAAGGGAAAAAATTCTTCCTTGCGCCTCCAACCCAAACCCGACACAATCAGAAAACAACCCACCAAAATTTGGATTTTTATAGGGGTTAAGTGACTGTTCAAGGGCACAATAACTGGGGATGGTTTCCTGGATGTGAAACTGCTAAATGGCAGCCTCTGACACCTGTCTGTGTGTCTCTGGTATCTCCAGGGTTTCTTTGACATCCAGTGGATAACCTGTATGCTGAGCCTGCTGTACTGAAGTGGATCAAGGAGAACATTGCAGAGTGGAAGACCTGCACTATCGTCTCTCCCAGACGCAGGGGGGTGCCAAGAGGTTGAGACAGGACCAGAGTAGTCAAAAAAGCTTTTGGTCCGAGGGCTTTTGGCCAAAAGAAGAAATTTGACATCAGAGAGAGGGGGAGGAGACAGGAGAAAATAAATAGGAGTGCTTGGTAAGTATGGGAACCATTGTGCATGCTAGACAACTGCTTCAAAAGCACCGCTACTGCTCAAGGACTTCAACTTGCTCTTACCTTAGGTGGTTTTACCCTTGAGCCATGTCTTTCTTTAACTCTGCCTTATCTGTGGAGAAATGGACTTTAGATTCACACGTTTGTGTGTCTAACTGCTCCTTCACACGAACACATCTTTAAGCGATAACAATGGACTGACTTGGTGACTGTTGTGCCTCTGTGACTTGGCTGGCTCTTAACACTGTGTATTGTATTCTGTGTGACAGAGTGACCTCCATAGCGGACAGGCTCAACGTGGACTTTGCTCTGATCCACAAAGAGAGAAAGAGGGCCAACGAGGTGGATCGCATGGTGCTGGTCGGGGACGTCACGGACCGGGTAGCCATCTTGGTGGATGACATGGCAGACACCTGTGGTACTATATGTCACGCGGCCGACAAGTAAGTAAAGTCTCACCTTATGACCTTGACTAACCTTGACACATGTATCTATGCCCAGGCAATGGGTGTCTGGGCTGAATCTTAACCATACAAAAACAAATATTAATTATGATCCTATACATTAAACTGGATCTCTGATTTGAAGTCAAGACCTTCGTATTACAGAGCTGTGGAAATACCCACCACTATTTCACATTTCACTTCTCCTTCATCTAAATGAGAGTCCTTGCAGCAAAAGTCAGTGTATCCAAACAGGTAAATGTGGCGGCGCTATAATCCCAAACAGTTTTTTAAGGAGATCCTGTCCCTTCACCTTCAGGCTGATCTCAGCTGGTGCTACCAAGGTGTATGCCATCCTGACCCACGGTATCTTCTCTGGCCCGGCCATCTCCCGCATCAACAACGCCTGCTTCGAGGCTGTGGTCGTCACCAACACTATCCCTCAGGAGGAGAAGATGAAGACCTGTCCTAAGATACAGGTCAGGGGTCACAGCACTGTCCTTTGATACAGGTCAGGTGGTATATTACTATCCTAAGATGCAGGTCAGGGGTCACAGCAATGTCCTTATATACAGGTCAGGTGGTATATAAATATCCTAAGATACAGGTCAGGGGTCACAGCACTGTCCTTAGATTTAGGGGTCAAAGGCTATATTACTGTCCTAAGATACAGTTCAGGGGTTAAAGGTTGTATTACTGTCCTAAGTTACAGGTCAGAGGTTATAACAGGGTCATTCACCTTAACATAATTAGACTGTCATACTGTCCGATAATGTGACGGTAGTTTAAGCTGAAATTCTGTTGTTGCTACTGTGATGATGTTTAACAACTAAGACAACGACAAGTAGTTTAAATAATCTTATCACCTAAACAGTTTAAATGGTAAAATAATTAAAATAGTTCACTCTATAAATGAGAAAAAGCACAATGTTTCTGTTTATAAATGGGAAATAGTCTGACATGTATCCGGATGTTTCATGAACATAGTTTATTATGGATGATGTGTTATTAACCATCTGTTTCTCCTGTAGGTGATTGACATCTCTATGATCCTGGCTGAGGCCATCCGCAGGACCCACAACGGGGAATCTGTCTCCTACCTCTTTAGCCACGTCCCCTTGTAACACCACACACACTGCCACACACATACACACCGCCTCAAACACACACACACACACACTGAGTCACCTGGGGCACTGTTCAGGAGGACACAACACCACAGAACATTCAGATAGAACAGACATGGCCATCTCTCATGCAGAATAGGGAATGTGGGGAACAGATACGATAGTCCTTTGCAGGTAGAATAAGGAATGCAGAGTCAGCTCTTCATTCCATTTCTATGCCCAGTATTCTGGAATGGTTTCTCATCACTGAATAGAATCCAGCCCTGCTGTTCTGTTACACCACCAATAGAGGAAGAGAGGGGATGTCCTATACAAACACCAGGGTTGGGGTCGATTCCATTTCAATTCCAGTCAATTCAAGAAGGACACTGACATTCCAATTCTCTTCAATGCTTTTGAATTAGGAAAATGTGGATTTGGAATTAGGTTTACTTTCTGAATTGACTGAGATTGAAATGGAATTGCCCCCAACCCTGAGAAACACCACCATTATATTAGCATCACTCTGCTGCTAATGCTAAACTAACCATGTAATAATTACATTTACATCATTTAGCAGACGCTCTTACAATTAGGATCAATGATTCATAATAATACGTTAATTTTCAGTCCCTCTCTCACTCCTAAACAGTGGGAGCATCCCAAATGGCACCCTTTTCCTACATAGTGAACTTCTTTTGACTAGTGCCATATGGGCGCTGATCAAAAGTAGTGCACTACATGGGGAGTAGGGTGCAATTTGGGACATGTCTATGGGGGGGGAGAGTAAGCTGTAAGTGGGTGAACTCACACACACAAGTCTTTAGCTAATGTGAACAGTCTCCCTCTTTTTCAAATAATTGCTGTTACAATACTTCGCTATGCTACAGAAAGAGGGGTGAGATAGATGGTTGGATGGAATGGAGAACGGTTGGATGGGATGAGGGGAGAACGGCTCATAATAATGGCCAGAACGGAGCAAATGGAATGGCATTAAACACCTGGAAAACATGTTTGATGTATTTGATACCATTCTACCTATTCCACTCCAGTCATTACCACAAGGCCGTCCTCCCCATTTAACCTGCCACCAACCTCCTGTGCTTCAGGTGTTTTATTATTTTAGTCTTCCTTTAATTTTATCAGTTTTGAAAGATGAGGTCATAATAAGTTAAGTGAATCAGAATGAGCTATAGTTTACAGTGCCTCTGATGTTCCTCTGGTGATTCCACATAGTCTGTAGAGACTTAAGTCTTTTAAAGGGGCAATCCAGGATTGATACTTCTATTTTGGGGCTTCTAAATTAATTATATATAGCCACTGATTCTTGAAGTATATAACTTATAAATGCCTCGTACATGATCTGCATCCCTACTTCTGTCTAGGAATTTGAGAGTGGGTGCATTCCTCCAACCCCATTCCTCAGCTGTTGACCTAAACAAGTAGCAGGGTGACCGCTTTTCGAATCGCGGATTGCTCCTCTTAAGACTATTGGGAATCATTCTTTCAGTGTGGGTGCAGAGGAGGCAGGTTTTGCTCTTTGAGCTTGTCGTTTTGAAGCTGTTTGGGTTTCTAGCTGGGGTTTTAGCTCTGCAGGATGGAGCTTCCTAGAAAACACAAGTCTTTATCTGCAATTTTACATTTTATTTACTTTTTTGTTTTTTCAATAACATTTGTATAATAAACTCTCGAAAGAGTGGTATCTGTCTGACTTTAAAGTTTCATGTATGTGCTTATATTCTGGATTTTGACTTGTTTAACATAAGGTGAATCAGTGCACCAAATATCGATGGCTGAATGTGATCTTATTAAGAGATGTGTGAAAACGAATGAAGCCTGGATTCTGGTTATTTATTAGGTTATCCCCTTATCCATGTACTACTAAACTAATGTATATAAATTGTTTTTAAAAAAGGTCATACCAAGGAAACATTTTGCCATTTGATTTTGAATTCCCCCCCCCCTTTTACATGTTTTTTGCCCCCCTCGTTTTTTTGGGACAAAAAAATCCCATATATACTTTCCATTTTATTTTTTCAAATGTTTCCGGGGGAAACCCTTTAGACAAATCCTTTTGGGGAAAACCACCCAAAATGTGGTGTTTAATTTATTTTCATCACCCTTTTCCCCCGATGGTCATATTAGTGTGTAGCCCCAACGGGTTTGGGGCCCTACCCATGGGTCCCTATTAGTGTGTAGCCCCAACGGTTTTTGGGCCCCAAACCCTTGGGGCATATTAGTGTGTAGCCCCAACGGTTCGGGGCCCCACCGTGGGAAAAAAAAAAATTTTTGGGGTGGACCCCAACGGGTTTGGGCCCTACCGATGGGTCCCCTATTAGGTGGGAGCCCCAACGGTTCGGGGCCCTACCGATGGGTCATATAGTGGGTTTGTGTTTGGGTTTGTATTAAGCCCCCAACGGTTCGGCCCCAACGGTTCGGGGCCCTACAGACAGAAGTTGTCAGATCGGCTGTACGGACTTCAGAGTCCCAAGGCACTCCTGTAGCTCAGTTGGTTAGAGCATGTCACTTGCAACGCCAGAGTTGTGGGTTTCGATTCCACCGGGGGGGGGGCCAGATAAAATGTATGCACTCACTAACTGAAGTCGCTCTGGATAAGAGCGTCTGCTAAATGACTAAATGTTTTTAAAAAGTCATAGAGCACAATGGAGAACACCATCTGTTCATAGGAGTCTCATCTTCCATAAAGGAGTCATAATTTGTACCGGTAAGGACCAAACTGTTCGGACACTACAGAAGATTTTGTGAGAAGATAACTCTATTACTCTATATGTACGTGGTCCTCTGTGGCTCAGCTGGTAGAGCACGGCGCTTGTAACGCCAAGGTAGTGGTTCGATCCCCGGGGACCACCCCATACACAAAATGTATGCACGCATGACTGTAAGTCGCTTTGGATAAAAGCGTCTGCTAAATGGCATATTATTATTATTATTACTCTGTGACATCCGGATGCGGGGGATTGAGACACATCCAATGCAAAACCCCAGAAAAATCTCTGCTTAAACTAAAGGATAAAAAATTTTATAATAAAAGAAATTTCTGTAATTTGATTTCCGGGGGAGCGGGGAATTTGGGCCCCTTTGGGGGGTTTTTTAAACGATCACCAACAAAACCGGGGCTTCGGGGTAAACGGGTCCCTGCCCACATTGATTGAAAAGGTATCCCGTCCAATCCATGGAAAATTTATTCCATGGTAATTCTTTGGAGGGGGCGGGAAAACCCCCCCCCCCCGCAATGACAACGTATTTCCCCCCCTACAACCCTTATTTCCCGTCGGTGTTGTAATTAATTATTCTTTACCCCAAAACCAAAACATATTGTTTTAGTAGTTTTTTCCATTTATTTTTCTTAGGCGTAGCGGTTTTTTTTTACTTGCGTACACCCTCCACTCACCCCTGGCCCTTTGGTTTTTCAAAAAATCACTCTCCTAAAGATGCGTGGTATTACGGTTTCTGTCCTTTCAAACACGAACCTGGCACCAAAAATGAATGGGCTATAATTTCACCACTTTCGCAAACATGTCTATAAAAATAAGGGTGTTTAAAAATTTAAAGTTTCAAGAAAGGAATTTATATTTGGCCGGGGAAGTGGGTTTTTTTGCCACTGAATGGAACTGATCATTTTTAGGGTTTTAAAACCTTTCCCCTGGTCTCGGCGGTCTCGGGAAGAAATTAAAGATTCCCCCACTTTTCCGAAAAACCAGTCAAGACCGAGTCAAATTAATCCCCAGGCAAATGAGAAAACTCAATATGTTTTTCCCCGATCGAGACCAACTTCCCACAAAAAAAGAAACCGGGTCTCGAGTACTGCAAAACCCGGCATACGGGCATGCTGTTGGCAGGATTTTAAATTCCAATTTTTCGCTCGTGCATCTTCACAGGTGTTTTTGTGGGGGGGTTTGGGTTTTTTTTTTGGGGTTTTTTTTGTTTTTTTTTTTTTTTTTTTTTTTTTTGTTTTTTTTTTTTTGTTTTTTTTTTCTTTTTTTTCTTTTTTTTAGTTTTTGTTTTTTCGGCCTTTGGGTTTTTTTTTTTTTTTTTTTTTTTTGGGTTTTTTTTTTTTTTGGGTTTTTTTTTTTCGGCTCCCTTTTTTTTAAGGGTTGGGGGGTTGGGGGTTTGGGTCCCCCCCCCTTTCCCATCCTTTTTGGGGGGGTCCATTTTTCCCTTTTTATTTTTTTTTCCCCTTTTATTTGACCCCACCTTTCAAAAAGTGTAATTTTTTTTAAAAACCCCCCAAAATCTCAAAAGCCTTCCCAAAAAAAATTCCTTTTCCCCCCAAAAAGGAAAGGCCTACTTTCCCACTTTTCAACCCCCCATTTGGCGTCTTTTCCCGAGGGCCTTCGGGTTAGGGGCGAAACACCCAAAACCCGGTAAAAGGTCCTTTCCCAAAATTCAAAAGGGGATTAACCTTTACCCTGGTTTACCAAACCGTCGTAAATTTGTTAAAGGGTTTTAAACCCCTAAATTCCCCGTCGCCCTTTAAACCGCCAAAGCCCTTAACCCACCAACGCCCAAAAACCCACTCCCCCCTTTTCAACCCGGGAAGGGTTTCGGACCCAAACCCCGGGGCCACGGACTGGAAATCAAACCCCCGGAATTGGGGGGGGCCAAAATTTTTCGGGACCGGGGGGAATTTTGGCCTGGAAAACCTTCCCTGGGTTTTTTCCCCCCCGGGCCTAAGGATCCCCCCCCCTTTTCCCAAAGGCCCCCTTTCCCGCTGACCCCCCCGTCAATCCAACCCTTTTGGAGAGGAAAGGAAACCCCCCGTAGAAGGTTAAAAACGGTAGGGGGGGCCCTTTGAGGGGATAATGGTAAGGGGGCCCGGGGGGTTGGCAAAGGGTCTGGGCCCCCCTCTGAACCCCTTTTCCCCATTTCAAAAAATGATGTACTTTTTACTCCACCTTTTTCCTTGACCCAAAAAAACACTTACATTTTGAATTTTTGAACGGAAAATGGCAAATTCACCACTTAATCATTTACTTTCTTTTTTAGCAGACGTCTTA